TGTTTCAATGTTTGGGGGCTGTATCCTCTTATGGATTTTGATTTGCATAAGCTGTTCAGCCCAGGGCCAGCTCCACAGCTGAGTGCTCATTGCACAACCACCCTGTGGTGCAGACAGTCTGCTCCTGAATTCCTGAATTCCTGCCCCAGATGGGGGCTGGAGTGCTCATCTCGTGCCTGGAGCCCTCTTTCCCTGCCATCCATCCCCATCCCTGTGGCTGCCTCCTGTCCCCAGCCCGTGCCAGGCTGTCGTGCTGCCCATTGCCACAGTCACCCTGTGGGATGCTGGGCAGATTTCTCAACACTTGGTGTGCAAATCAAATCCATTTAAAAGCAAGAAATGCCCATCCCTGTCGAATGACAGGATTTGCTTTGCTTTTGCAGCCACAGTGAAGCTCTTGTTGTAAGTATTTTCTTTTCCTGCCTGGTCTCCATAATTTTAAGTGGGTTTAGCATTTGCCCAGTAACCTCTCAGTCATATCATGTTTGCAGTCCTCCTGTGGGACCCCAAACTGTAATTGGGTTTGTCTACAGGAACTCATCAGCTGATTAATGTTGTGTTAATCAGGGCAGGGGCTGAGGGATGTGTAAGTGCAGCCAGTCATCCTGAGATCATCAGCACTAATGCAGTTGTGGTGCAGGAGCTGGTAATAACAGAGCTGCTCTAATAATGCTTTTGAAAATGCTCAGTGTCATCGTATTGCAGGCTGTTCATTAATTACAGAGCTGTTAATTATCCCAGGGGGGTGTGTGAGGGAGCTGGGCCCCACACGGTGTCACCAGGCAGTTCTATCAGTGTCACACGGGTTGGAGAGGGAACCTTGGCCCTTGGTTTGGTTTCCATTTATGAATATTCAAGTTTGGTTCAGCTTGAACAGAAGGTTTTGTGGAGGTGTTGCTTGTGTCCCTGGCTAAAACCTGAGCTGAGCTGAGCTGAGCTGAGCTGAGCTGAGCTGAGCTTACAGGATGCTTTTCCAGAGGTGCAGCTCTGCAGTGCTCAGTGCTCAGTGGCCTCTGATCCAACAGGATCACAGAATCCCTGAATGGTTTGGGTTGGAAGGAACCTCAAACCTCATCCAGTGCCATGGCAAGGACACCTCCCACTGTCCCAGGCTGCTCCAAGCCCCATCCAGCCTGGCCCTGGGCACTGCCAGGGATCCAGGGACAGCCACAGCTGCTCTGGGCACCTCCCCACCCTCCCAGCCAGGAATTTCTGCCCAATATCCCATCTAAATCCCCCCTCCCTGTCCTGCCCCACCCCACAGCTCGGTGTTCTTTTGGGGTTGCCCAAAGCAGCTGATGCCATGCAGATGCCCCTGCTGTTCCCCAGCTGGTTCCTCACCCTGCTGCACCAGCTCTGCTTCCTCTCCAGCTGGATGCAGCCGTGCCCAGCTCTCCCCTGGAGCTGCTCCTTGGCCAGCCTTCCTGAGGCTGATCTCTTTATTTTATATTCCTGCTCATCCTTGACTCTCAGATTTTCAAGAAAAGCTGGGAGTGAAACAAATCCACTTCTGGCTGCAGTGTCTGCCAGGCTGAGGCTGCTGACCACATTTCCTTAGTGATGCTGTGCAACTTTCTGGGAAATTTGAATTCCCAACCTCTTTCCCTGGCTGATGTTGCCAGTCTGTGGCTTGTGCATCATTTGGTGAACTTTGTGTTGAATCTACTCGGTTTCCACTATGAAATACCCCCACAGTAAGCAAATATTGAGTTGGAAACACTCTTGAGTGTGTTTGATTTCTGGTTTTGGCTGATCTCTGATTTCTGATGTAAATTCTGAGGATTTGATGTGTAAACGACCCGTCCTATAAAACATGAGGCTGTGTTCAAGGTTTGTACAGCTCCACACCTTTGCAATGTTAAGCTTCTAGTGCAAGGTTCTGGTGGTCAGAATCCTGAATATTCCAGTTTTATCCTTCAGCCTGGTTTCTTGCAGCCTGTGGGAAGAAGTGAAGCGTGAGCTGAGCAGGATGTCAGGCTGGTTCCACAACCCATGTGTGTGTGTGAGCACACAGGGCAGGGGTGTGTAAACCCCAGGTTCCTGGGCACACAGAGCGTGTCCTCGTGGCTCTGCTGCCTCTGATTGCTGTTCTTGGTAATAACTCTTAATTAGAGACCACACCAACCATGCTGGCAGGGAGGAGCTCATCATCCTGGAAAGTGATGTTGCCTTAGAAACCAGTGCAAGAGGCTGCACAGAAATGATCGTGTTAGATTAAAGCAAAAAAAAAAAAAAAAAAAAAAAAAAAAAAAAAAAAAAAAAAAAAAAAAACAAAAAACCCAGAGCATTAGCAGGGATAAGTAATAGCTTTGGGAGTGAAGCAAAAATAGAAGCACTAGGCTGATTCATCTGCTGAGGCTGGGAGGCTGCAGATTGGGTGCCAGAGCTGACGTGGGATGCAGTGATCTCCGCCTGCTCCGGGGCCTGGCACAGCCCAGCTCCACCTGGAGCAGCCCAGGGAGGGCTCAGGCATCCTTTGGGATGGCTGCCCTGGCAGAGGGATCAGTGGAAGCATCCCAGTAGCTCTGGGTGGCTGCAGAGCTTGCTGCTGGGTCTGACACTGTGCTCAGCATCCCGGGCAGGCTGGTCCTGTCAGCTCCCCCTGCAAGCAAGGACAGGGTTTAATGAGGATTAAAGGGTGTGAGCAGGCAAAAGAGAGCTTACCTCCCTGTGTACAGGTAAACAGAGCCTTCCTCCTCCTGAAGAGGCAAAACAGAGCCTTCCTCCTCGAGCCCAGGCTCTCTCACCTCTGGGAGGGAGTGGGGACCAAGCTCCACGTGCATCTTGTAATGGTGTCACTGCTCCTGCCTGACATGAAAGGTGGTGGGGAGCCCAGAGGAGAGGGAAACATCAGATTTGGTACTTGAGGAGTATGAAATGTTCCTCCTCGTTGGACTGAGGGTAAAAGCAGTGGTGGGGTTTCTTTGAGGGTATCTGACTCTCCCTTCCAACGCAGCTCTGCTCCAGTGAGACCATCCCTTACTTGAGTCACCTTCAAAATCTTCCCAATTCTGTATTCTGAACATCCTTCCACCCTTTCTGGCTCATCTTCACTGACCAGTTTGCCTTTTAATTCTTCAGAGAATTTAAGGTTTATGGGAATCTGAAGGAACAAGAGGGAGCAAAGCTCTGGTGGGAGGGCTGCTGGTCACATCGAGTGGCCATTCCTGGCCTTGCCCAACCACCGTGGCACAGCTTCAGAGGCAGAATATTCATAAATGGAAATCAGAAGAAGAGGACTGGGTAGAAGATAGAGGCCAGGGCCCTGGAGCTGGGCAGGGCTCTGGGAGCAGCATGCTGTGGGCAGGAGGAAGCTGTTGGGAAGCTCTCAGCATGTGAACTCTGCATTACCTCCATTCATGTCCTGGGAGATTAAATACTGGCTGACTTTGGAGATTTTTCATAGCTAAGCATTCTCCCGCTTCTGAGCATCCCAGGTATTGACTGTGGTTCATTTCCTGCATTAGAAAATATTATTTAATAAGTGAGCAGAGAAAATATTATTTAATAGGGCAGCAGTGGGGGCTGTGCACGGACATGGAGTCAGGCTTTTCTTCCCTGTGATGCAAATCCCTTCCACGATGCCAGGCTCTGAAGTACCAGCCCTGAAACCAGAGAGGGTTTTCTCCTCTGATAGAAATAGTAGATATTTGCTTTAAAAAGAAAAAAAAAAATCAAATAAAAAGCTCCTAGGTGGTTTCAGAGAGCTTTACAGGGCTGCCCTCACTCCTGGTGAAGTGCTTTAAGGGATATCTGGTGGATTGAGATTTCCTGTAAAAAAAAATCTTGGTTTGGATTGAATGAGAAATGGAGGAATAACAGTAATTACACAGGATTAGAGGAACTCGGGGCCTGCCAGATTGGGGAGCACAGTCAGTACTTTCAGAGTGAACAAATGCTTGCAAACATGAGTCCTACATCAGGGAGGAGGAGAGCACGAGCCGTGAGCTGAGAGCCCGTTTCCCACAGCAAGACACCTCGGAATATTTTAAAGCAGAGAAAAATTGTTGAGGCTCTTTGAGAAGTGAAGGTTGTGGGTGGAACTATTCTGGTTAATTAAAGGCTGTCAGGAAAGATTCATATAACTTACAGTTCCTTAGTCATTGTTTTTAAATATAGCAGTGCCTTAAATCCCAAGCTTAAATACAAGCAGATAAATGTGTGGATTGTAGCATTTCTCACAGCAGGTTCAATTCAGGGGGCGTAGTGGAACTTGCAGGCTCTGGGTATAAAAATACATTTCTTTCAGTTCAACTCGAGCAGGGGAGGCCTTTTCCACGAGCTCTAAGGACATTTTCTCCGGAGTGGAGTGTGGCAGTATCTGGGATGCTTCATGTGCTGTGACCCTGGTTCAGAGAGCAAAACCTGCCTCAGTCAAGGATTAAGCTGCACCAGACACTTAAGAATGAAAGCTGAATCTGCAGTTTGGTGCTAATGCAGCCTCTGAGCAAGCTGCAGCCCAGTTCAAGCAGGGGAATGGTGGCCAAATGACTCCCAGCTGCAGGAGCTGGAGAGGTGGCTGAGGAGGGCACATCAGGGCTGTTGAGGCTGGGTTGGGATGGGTCAACACAAAGTGTGCAGTGCTGGTGTGGACGAAGGGTGACAGAAAAAAAATCCACCTGCAACCAGGACAACAAGCAGTGAAGTTTGTATTTTTGACAACTGGGGCACATGTCTGGCTTGTCTGGCAGATTTTGTGGACCCAAAGAGGCAGGCGTTTCAGAACACAGATACGTGGCGTCTTTAAACCAGCTAAAAATATTGTAAGATGTGTTCATGTTTAAAAAAATATAATTAAAACGAATCTTGCTGTATTTGAGACTCTGGGACCTTTCCAGACACATCCCATCCCATCCCATCCTTTTCAGCTTTGTCCTCTTGCTTACGGGAGCGATCCGGTTTGCGAATTGTGAAATCCTCATTACAGCAGGACTTGTGATCGCTGTTGACTCCGGAAGAATATATTAAAATTCACAGAAAACAAAGCCCTGCTGCTGAAAGAGCTCATTCTGCCCCGTGCTGTCGGGGCTGGGCTGGGGGGGGGCCGTGCTTCGGTTTTGTTCACGGGGGAATCGCTGACCTTGGAATGGCTCATCAGCGGGAATTGATACCGATAAAAGCATCGATCGAGAGCTCGGCAGAGCAAAAGGAGGAGCCCAAATTCCCCCAAACGTGTGCGGGGACCCCCCCAAAAGCCGCTGACAGAAAAACCTTCCCCTGAGCCGATAAACGCAGAGCATCCTCAGCCCGGGGCCGGGCGCTCGCCTTCCCCGAGCGAATTCCTGAGGATTCTCCACGAAAGGATGCAACCTGCCGCTTCCTTGGGAACTAGTGGCTGCCTGCAGTAAGTGAAGGCGGCGGCGCAGGGGGTGGGGAGCACGGGGCTGGTCACGAACACCGGGGGCACGCCGCGGCGTCACGGCAGCGAGCCCGGCGCTGCAGCGGAGCCGCCGCGATGTCCCTCTCCGACCAGCAGCCCGACTACAGCCCGCTGGGCAAGGGCAAGAGCCCCGAGAGCTTCCCGGCCGCCTTCCACCGCATGGAGCCCCCGAAGGACTTCGGCAGAACCGAGTTCGAGTGGCAGAGGACCGAGGGGAAGCTGAACGAGATCGGCTTGAACGTGAACGCCGGGGGACCGATTAAGGACGGGCTCGTTAAGAACGCCGGTTTCACGGATGAGGACAAGCTCTGCTTCTTCGAGGGAAAGCTAGACAAAGAGCTAAAAATAGCTCAGAAGGACAAAAGAGAAATTGAGGTGCCGGGCAAGAAATACCAGGCGGCTGCAGGTCACCTTGAGAGCTGGTCCTTGATTTCGGAAACCTTTCCTCCTGCAGAAGGCAACTTCGGGAACCCTAAAGCCACCGATTTCCGCGTGGGACAGGCGGCAGCCGAGAAAGCCGGTCCCGGGCTGGGTAGAAATGAAGCCATCACCGACCAGGAGAAAGCCGTGGGTAAGGCTGGGATGGAGACCAAGTGCCAGCCGGAGCCAAAGCTGCCCCATCTATCCGTGCCGGAGAGCGATCCCGGCAAATACATGAAGGAGCAGGAAATCAGCGTGTGGAACCCCAATTTCCAGCCCATCCTGCCGAGCGACTCGGGCTCTAAAGAAGCGGCCGTGAAGAAAGACGGAGCCCCCGGCTATGGTGTCCTGGGGCTGGTTAAGGACAGCCGCGGGCAGAGCGGGCTCTCTTCCCCCGCTCCCGCAGCCAGAGGGGTCCCTCCGACCACCACCGTGGAGCTGGCCCAGGACGAGTCCAAGAGCAGCGAGCTGAGCGAGAGCCCCGAGCTGGAGGAGGAGATGGACGAGCAGCTGGGCTCGGAGGGCAGTTCGCTGGCCGGGGCTGCCCACCAGAGGAAGGCGATGAGGCGTGCGATGTCAGAGTGCTCTCACTTGTCGGTGCCCCTAACCCTTAACCTGGCCGATAAATACCCTGAGCCGGTGCTTAGAGAAGACGTCGCCACCGGGCTGCTCTCTCCTCATAGCAGCCTGACCCAGAGCCGCAGCCCCACGGCCGGCAAGCCGAGCTCGCCCATGAAGAGGTCGCTGACGGTGGCCGAGGAGCGGGCGGCCGCCCCGCCGAGCCCCGGCCCCGGCGCGCAGCCCCCGGCCCCGGCGCGGGAGGAGCCGGCCGCCGAGAAGCGACAGGAGCGGGACGGCGGCAGCTCGCTCAAGAAAGAGCCGGGCAGCCCGAGCGTGGTCCGCAGCAAGCTGGAGCAGATCCCCGAGCTCGGCAGCCAGGACAAAGAGCGGCAGGAGGCGGCGGGCGAGAGGCACCGGAGGGACGGCGGCGACGGAGCGCCGGGGCTCGATGCTGCCAAAGGCAAAGGCGCCGAGCTGGAGCCCGGCAAAACGGCTCCTCCGGAGAGGAAGGAAATCGAGGTCAGCAGCGTGCAGAGCTCTCCGTCTCCCAAGCAAGGAGATTTCCCAAGTGATGGTATGTTCCTGGTTTTTACCTCTCCGGGCAGGAGCTGGGAAGTGCCCGGTGACTTTAGAGCGGAGGGTGCGCCTGGGAGCCCGGCACCGGCCGCGCTCGGCAGGCAGAACAAAGGATCTGTCCAGACAGAAACGGAGGGGAAAACAGGGAAATTCATTGCCTGGCTGGTTGCACAGCGTCCGGTGCAGCAGCAGCAGCTGTCAATGGCTTGTTGGGGATCCTAAAAGGGAGAGCTGGATTTTCAGATCGTGGCATCCCCACCGGTCTCCCCTGGGTACCCTCCTGCCACACCTCCCCCAGAGAGGAACCCCAGATCACGAGTTGCGTTTTGAGAGCAGGGTGATAGCAAAGTTAAAACCTTTCAGCCCCTGCCAGAAAAATCTGCAGATTGTGCCTTTCCCGTAAGCTTCGGGCACTGTGTTTGAGGGGAGCACAAGAGTGATGGGTGCAATGATTAATGGAGTTAAGCTCTTGCCGGTGGTGAAATTCAAAGTGGAATTTCCCTGTCACTTTCTGGAAGCTCTTTCCCAAACCCCCCGTTTGAATGGAGCCGTTCCCATTCCAAGGGTCAATAGCAGCTTGTTGTGTTCTGTGGGGTTTGTTGTTTCAATGGTGCTGTGGTGTATGAGGTCACTCTTCCCGGATTTAAAATCTGTGAGAAGAGTAGTTAATCTTTGTTCTCCCGCCTGGAACAACATCTCCGTGTCCCCCTTGCCAGCCCCAGCCGGCAATAAACCTGCTTTTCCCCCAGATTTTGGATGCGACGAGGGTGTTTGTGCTTTGTGTGTCGCCCGCATTAAGGAGAGGAGAGAAAATGTGTCAGGGGATAAAGACAAAAGATTCACAAAAGGATTTTTGCATCCTTTTGTAGCCAGCTGGTTTGTCAGCCCCTCGAGGGCTGATGCAAAATGGAAACGGTCACGTTGAGAGGAAGGGGAGGGTAAAACCCAAGTGTGCAGGGGAGTGAACCCCAAAAGTCCCGGGGTGAGCTGAGCTCTCGGAGCGGGGCAGGGCAGTCCCCGAGGGGCTGTGTGAGCACAGCCACGGGTTTCTTTGGCTTTGTGGTGTGTGAGTGACACCCCATGGTCACTCCGGCAGCTCTGGTGCCCGCGCCGGGCTCCGGTCATCGCCCCGCAGCCAGCGGTCACTCACCACCGCTGTGCCCAGTTAGAGTCCTGCCTTCTCGAATTATTTCTCGAGATGCTTCAGTTCCCAATCTCATAGCTGGGGAGCATCTGGGTAGTACAAACTGCCCTCGGTGATGTGCCAATGTCTCTCACCTTTTCTGAACCACAGGACCTCAGGATGGGCTGGGTTGGAGGGACCTCAAAGCCCATCCAGTGCCACCCCTGCCATGGGCAGGGACACCTTCTCCTATCTCAGGTTGCTCCGAGCCCTGTCCAGCCTGGCCTTGGACACTTCCAAGGATGGAGTTCTGAGGATGGGATTCTTCCCTCCCCATCCTCTCAGCGTTGCCTGGTTCCTCACAGTTGGCTCGAGGGACGGATTTTAACGAGCTCAGGTGGTGGCCATGGTGGTGGCAGCACCTCAGGAGTGCAGCCCTGGCTTCTGGAGCCTGAACAGAGCTGTCGGCTCCTGGCAGGCAGGTGGGAGCCACTGGCTGCCCTGTGCTGGTCCCAGGGAGGTCCTGGCTAGAGCCAAGGTGGGATGGGACACTTGGGGATGTTCCCTTGGGCTCAGGTCAGACCCGCGTGTTCTGCGGTCACCTGGGCTTGATTTTGTACCTAAACATGAGAGGGTCATCAGTCTTGGGAACTGAAACTGTGGCAGGAGTAAAAAGATGTTGGCAGGAAATGTGGAGCAGAAAAAAAACCCAAAAATGATGTATTTGTGCACACCTTTCCTATCACAGAGTTCTTGGGATGAAGGGGCTTGCCATCACCTTTCATGTCGCAGATTTTTGGGGGTTTGCTGACATCTTTCATGTCTCAGGTTTTTTGGGGTTTGATGACGCCTTTCATGTCCCAGTTTTAGGGGTTTGCTGATAATTTTCATGCCCCAGTTTTTTTGGGGTGATGGTGTTTGCTGACACTTTCCACGTCCCAGTTTTTTTGGGGTGGTGGGATTTGCCGACGCCTGCCCTGACACCAAGGTTTAACTACAAGACAAATCATCAACTAAATTCATATTTTGGGCAACTGGGAGCCCCAGTTTGGCTTGGCTGGTGGCATCTGTGCAGCTCAAGGGGCAGCTGTTTGAAAGCACAGCTCGGTGGGATCTTTAAATCAGACACAACATTTAAAACCTCCTCTGAAGTGGATTGATATGTTTTCCCCAGAGGGGCTGAGCATCACTGATGGAAAGGTCACTGAGACGGGAGTGCTCCGAGTGTTCTGGTTGGGTTGTGTTTTGCAGATGGCTTATTCAGATTGCCAAGGGTTTTTTAGCATTTGGTTTAAAATTTTGCTCTTGCAATCTTTATTATGAAAGCTTGTTTGTTGTCCTTGCAATCACAGGTCTGGGTGAGCTGATACAGAGGATCACTGAGCTGGCAGAGCTCTCACAGGCATCAATACCATAGAATTTGAAAACTTATTTTCTACTCTTTGTAGCTTTTACTCTTCTAATCTCTGGCTTTATCCTCTCCTGGAAGCAAACAAAGCAGTAAATGCAACAAAATGTTTTCTGTATGTGCAGTTTGGAGGATTTTCAGAACGCAGGAGAAACCAGACAGAAATTCCTTAGATGTTCTTGAAAAGCTTTCCAACTTCCTGTGCTGAGGATTTTTCCCTCTCCCCTGTTAATCAGCAGAGAGGTGGTTGTAGTTAAAATAACTCTCCTGGAAGGCAGTGCTGGCTGGAAGGTGGAGCTGCTGCTAAATCCCTCCTGTGCATTTCATTCCCTCTCAGTTCCTGCCCTGAGCTCCTGATCATCCTCCCTGCCCCATCCCAGCACTCACCTTGCAGGTCTCCATCCCCTCGCCAGGCAAAGTGCTCAATGGATCCATTTCTTCTGACACAAAGAGGTTTTCCCTGCTTTTTGTTAACCCCTCTCTTTTTCTGCCTGCTCTGTCTGTTCACCCTCATCTCTGCGCTCACACTTGGGGGTAACAAATTCTGTCACTTGCACCTTTTATCATCCCAAAAATACTTTAAAGAATTGTGCAGCCCGATCCAAATCATTTGTATGGTATCTCCACTTAAAGCAGACTTCCTTGGTTCTGCCCACCGAGGGTTGGGGGATTTTTTGCTAAATATCTGCTCCTCTTGTGTTCTTTTCATAGCAAGAATTAGTAGAATTGTACATAAAACTTTTCTTCCTTGCAGACAGGTGGATGTTGGTGTGATCACAGAATCCCAGGGTGGTTTGATTGGAAGGGACCTTCTTAAAGCCCATCTGGTGATGGCACATTTAGTTTAATTTGAGTTTAATTTCCTTATAAAAACTGCCCCAAAGGCGCTCCCAGTTCAACCCCTCGCGTGCCCACTGTGGGCATTTCCAGCCAGGAGATGCTGCCTGCAGATTAGTCCTGATCAGAGCTGAGCCCCAGGACCTGCCCAGCTCCCTCAGGAATCAAATCTCCCTGGACAAGTGGCTGTTCCCAGCACGAAGGACAGGTTTGACACTCGAGCGTTGTGTGATTTATTGGCATTTATTTGTACCCAGTGTCACCTCCAGCAGTGGCCCTGCCAGAAGTGATGTCCTCCAGCACTGCCTTCACCTGCTGCCTTCTCTCACTCCCTTGGCATCTCCCTGAGCTGTTTTCTGCTCTGAAACACCAGGAGTTGCAGGTTGGGTCTGTCACACCCAGCACCAGCTCAGGAAACCATCCTGGGTTTCCAGCTCAGGTTTCTTTATACTCCATAAAGTCCAGCCTAGCTTCCAGTATCTCCTGAAGGATTTTCTCCCAGCAGAACGCTGTGGTTTAGATGAATACAGAATCCAAGACTCCCAGCAACAGTGAGGGTGTGAGAGCCCTGACCTCAGGTTTGCACTGATTGAAGTTCGTGCTGGGATTGGGAATGTCAGCCCAGCTGCCTGTAAAAAACCAGCACTGCAGTGGTGAGGTCTAGCAGGTTCCTGAGCACAGGAAATGGTGTTTGTAATAGGGGAGAAAAAACAAAAGTGACTGCAGCTGCTCTGTGCCTGGTTGGGATGGGGGGATACTGAGGAACCTCCCTGGAATTCGTTGGATCATTAGTGACACCTTTGTGCTTGAGTGTTCCCAATACAGGATTGTCTTTATTTTACATTCTGAACAGTGTGGAACAGCAGTTTTATGCCTTCAGACACTGAAAAGCTGAAGAGGAGCTTTGGGCAAAGGCCTGGAGGGACAGGACACAGGGAATGGTCCCCACTGCCAGGGGACAGGGCTGGGTGGGATATTGGGAAGGAATTCCTGGCTGGGAAGGCAAGGAGGGGCTGGGATGGAATTCCCAGAGCAGCTGTGGCTGTCCCTGGGTCCCTGGCAGTGCCCAAGGCCAGGCTGGACAGGGCTTGGAGCAGCCTGGGACAGTGGAAGGTGTCCCTGCCATGGTTGGGTGGCACTGAAGCTTTAAGGTCCCCCCCAACCCAACCCAGTCTGGGAATCTCTGAATTCCATGTAAATCCCCTGAAAATCCCCTTGTCCCCTGGCCCGAGCACTGCCCAAGCTCAGTTGGGCACCCAGAGATTCTCTGAGGTTTCACCAACATTCAGAGCAGCTTCAGGGCCAGCCTGAGACTGGAATTTGGGCCCTGTTTCTTGCCTGCTCCTCACTGCATGTCCTGCCCAAGGCAGCTCCAGTTCAGGAGGGGTTTTGCTGGTGGGTCACTGTGATGGGAGCTGTTACCCAGAACAGCTTCATAATTGCAGTTCATGCCCTGTTGGATGAACTTCAGGTTGTTCTGATGTAGGATTTCCCTTGCTGGGGTAAAAATAAGAGTCTTAACAATCCTGGAGCTTTATGTTTACAAATGCAGGCAAAGAGGAATCGGACTTATTCTCAGTTCTTGATAACGAGGGAAGATGTACATGTTGTCTGAGTTGGATTTGTTGCC